CCGCCAGGCTGCTGTCATTCGGGTTTTTCACCTCAGCCGCTCTGGGGAAACTGAATTAACGGTAGAAAAATGGTGCCTTTACACAATCTCCTCCCTTATCACACACATCCATCCTTTAAACTGCCCAATATTTTTTACTTATCCCTTTAAGCTCCCCGAGCTGAAAACGCGTGCAGAATTCACTGCAAGTGACACGCCACAACTTCGAAGCTAGTGACAAAAAATTACTGGCACCCATTTGGAACCCATTCCCTAAAGTCAAGAAACCAGGCAGACACAAGGGACAGTACAGAGTAAGTAACCCCTTAAATGCTAAGAAAAAGATAGGGAGGTACAATCCGTGTCACCCCAGCGCAGGAATTGTACGGCACATCCTCGGTCAGTCTGCAGCAAGCCCAGATCTGTCACGCTCAAGTGAGCCACACAGATTTACTCCAGACAAAGATCACGCCCATTCTATCCGACATTTCTTCTATCTGTAATATTTATCATCTCAGACAATGACTTCGCTCTCTGCCAAACAAATCTCATGAGTCCCGTTTTACGTAACTCGTGGCATAAGTCCATTGGGCTTACGTCAGCATCAGTTACTCTCAGCCGCGGGGATGCGACGTTTGCGGCAGCAAGAGCCCGAAGCCCGTACCGGCACGGCCAGACCTACGCTGCTGCGGCACCACGTGCGCCTCGCCAGCTCTCTAAAGTTGTTGCTGATGGGCCACAGGTCTTGAGAGCCGCTTTAAGTTTTCATAACCATCCTTCTCGCTTCGTCACACAGAGCTGCCGTTGCCCGCTTGCTTTCCCTTGCTGGGTTTTCCTCCTCCCGAGCCAGCAGCGGTGCCTGCGAGCGCCGAGATCCTGCTGCAGAGCAGCAGCAAACGCCCCGAACGCGCAGCGCAAGGACTGCGCCGGCCGGCCGGGTCGCTCACCGTCGTTACCTTAATTTCCAGTTTGAGCAGCTTCAGCGACCGGGGCCGGATCGTGCCCAGCACTGACTGCGGGAGGAAACGGCGAGAGGCGAGGCACCGATGGAGGCGCAGAGAAGAGCCCCATGCCCCCTACGCACCCAGGGCGGATACACTCTGCTCCTCCTCACCAAAAAATGATGCTCCCTCTTCTTCTGGAAGGGAAAATCAGGATCAAGCCCTTGGTTATCACAGGAGCTAGACGAAGCCATCGTTACTTCGAGGGGGAGGATTTCATCCCACCGCGTATCACGGCGCCTGCTCACCTTCAGGTTCAGAGGAGAGCCCCGAAGGCGCAGCGTCTGTCATCGTCCCCGCTCCCTGCGCTGGAAACGTTCCGCAGCCCCCCCGGCCGATCCAAGTGCCTTCCCCTCCATCAACACGACCGGAGTTCAGAGAATCACAGAATGGTAGGGGTTGGAAGGTTCATCGAGAATTGCCGTGATAACAGACTTGTATAAGCTACATACTTTGGCCTCGGCCTGCCATTAACCCCCGCTGGGATGGCTGACATTCGCCAGCTTTACTTCTGCCTGAAAATAACCCATAAAAAGGAACTACAGCCTTGCAGCAGCCGTACAATGGGAGTTCTGTACAGCACCTGAGCATCTCTAGCCCCTTTGTAGCCTTTCAAAACCTGAAACAGGTTTTTAAACAAAGAAAAAGCCCTTTTGGCTTGAGGAAAATGAAAAGCAGCGTCTGTTTTCATTGTAAAACAACAAAAGTAAAGAGTGGGTGCCAGCGAGCAGGGAAAGGCACAGCCGTTGGAAGTGCCCCGAGAACAACGCACGCACGCTCCAGCGGATGGGCACGAATAGGCTGCTCCGGTAAAAAGGAGGAACAAATCCCAGTCGGGAGCAGAAAGCAGAGCTGTTCTCCCGATTCATATTTTGCGCTCGCAGCTAGAGACGGTATTACTGTCTGACGGCCCACTCGAACGCGCAGGATGTTTGCAGCTGCCGAGGACAAAGAACTCGCTGTGAGCGCTCCCACAGTTACTGCGGATACAGCCAAGCGCGCTGACCTCATGCACTGATTTCCTGGTATTTGATGTTCCCAGCCTTTGGCCAAACCAAACGCGTTAAAAATGAGATTTCTCTCTCCGATGTTCTTGCCCCAAGCGAGCAGGGCGTGATGGTCTCGGAGGCCACCCGCATCTCGGACGAAGGATCACATGAACGCTTCTCCCACGACTGTTGAACACGGCCGCAGACATCTTCAGCGAATCCCTCCGCAACCACCGCCTTGGCGAATATCGGGCCTCAGCTGAGCATCGTCTATCTAGGAAAGCCCCACAGCTGCCTTGGCCAGGATTTAATCCTGATGGAGTGACCAGGAAACTACCTGGCTCGGTTTCCAGGCTATATCAGAAGCCCATCGTGCGCGTGGGCGCGCAGCTTCCAGCTCTGAGCCCAAACCTACGGTGCCCCTCTCGCCCGCCCTCCCTCCCGGTTCTGATAATGGACTTGCAAAAGACGCCGTCCCACGCTGCCCCGTTAGTAACGGCTTTACAATGGCCTGTTCACCCAGCAATCTTTTGCCCCCTTTTTATTCAAAGCCTGTGACTTACACGACTGCGCTGCGTGTTCTTTCACCACTACTCGTTACCCACCTTCATTAACCGTCCTGTTGTGCCGGTTCCTCGCTTCTCCGAATCACCTAGGAATTTTCCATGTGCCAGCGTATCGAACGCTTTAGAGAAATTAAGGCAAGGAAGCTGCAGGATGTGCCTTTTGTTCAGAGAATCGGTTGAGTTAGACGAACACGGTATCTTCCCTGATAGGACGTCCCGTTGGTAAGCTCGTTTCCACGCACGCTGCTCACGCTGGCCGGGGCTGAGGCGAGCAAGGTGAGAATCCCTTAGAGCTATCTTCTTATCCCACAGTCCCCAAAAAATCTTGTGATTTCGCTTCCAGTTCCTCCAGTTATTCTAGTGGGTGTGCAAACCGGTCCTAGACAGAGAACCAACCGCTACTTTGTTTGGACAACGAAAATAACAGCAATAGTTTGAGTATAACCAGGCCAGACTGATAGAAATTATGCTTAAAGGATGTGCAAAGTGTCTGTCATAATAAATCAGACAGAAGAGGAGTGTCTACATTAAGATTTAACCTTCAGTCTAAGCTCCTTCACCAAAAAAAAAAAAAAGAAAAAAAGGCGGGGAAACTAACCCTCTTCAAGAAGTCTTTCATGTCAAATTACACAGCAGACTCAGAGGTGCCTGGGTCAGCAGCTCTCCGAAGCCTCCCCAGCTCCCAGCTTGGATTCCAGGTGCTCCCACAGGCCTCAGATTCCTGGCAGCAACTCCACACTTCTCCTCCTCCTGCGGCCTCATTGCAGCTGCAACGTCAGGCCGTACCGTTTGGCCAGCACAACGCAACCGGAACCTGCACGCAGCAAAAACTTCATCAAATTACTTAACCGGCCTCAACAGAGCGGTGTGGTTTGGCCATAGAAGGTAGAAGTTAAAATTGGCAATGGCAGCAACGGGCAACACTTGCTACTGGTTTACTCCTTGGTTTCCAATTCTTTCCTTTTCATCTAGGTTTACAGCCATCACATCCCATACGCTAGGTTCCCTTAGTTTACCCCAAGAAATACTGACTTGTAAAACGTCGTAGCTTTTAACCAGAAAATGAGATGCAACAAATTCTGCTACCGCATCTGTCAGGCTTTAGCTATTCTTACCAAGAAAAAAACCCAACAACCACCAAAGCAAAAACCACCTGTAGAATTTGGGACACCTGTATAACTGGGAAACGACAGTTAGCTTATGGCAGTTAAACAGTCTCCAGGAAGCTTTAGAAGCGTGGAAGTAAAGGGAAAAGCACGGATATGCGCTTTCTGTCCGACCCACAGTATTTTTCATTGCTCATTCCCCTGCCTTGCCACATGTAATCACAAGATCGTGCTTCTCAGCTATCAAATGGAAGTCTCTCACGGAGACTTGAAATACTTGTATCAAGATACCAGCATCTACATAATCCACATGCATTTGGAAAGTGATCCTCTTCCCAGAATGATGCAACAGGAAAAGAATGGAATAGTCAGGGAGTTCTTAAGACGTAAAGAGCACGAGATACCATCCTGCAAGAAGTGCCTTTCATCCCTACCCGTTTAGGACACACTAATTCCATTGCTGTACTTTTATCGCCTCTGATTAATGTTTAACAGAACAGGCATGCACAACTTGGTCTTTTTTATTTTTATCGCTCCACGCTGTCAATGGGAAGCACGGGGATTGTTCAGACATTGAGACAGCAAGAGCGTCTCTGCTCAAGAGCCACTGAAGGCGAGGAGCCACGTAAGATAAATTTGAAAGCTCTAATAGGATGTTAAGTGCAATTCCACGGGTGTTCCAGGTTGCTCTCTCCACTTGCGTTACATCAGGGATCCATTCCTTACACACACACTCAGGACAAAAGAAAAAAAAAAGACAAAAAAAATCAAAGGAAGAAAAATTCTACTTAAATAAAGAATTCGGAATTGAGCCCAAAAAGCACCCACAAAACCCCACAAACAAGTCTTCAAATGAAAGTCTTATAATACCAATCTTTATTCAAGACAGACTGAAAAGAAATACTTGCCAGTACTTCATTTACTTACCCTGCAAACAGAACTCAAAACTCTCCTGCTTAGTCAGGATTAACCATTTTACAAGGAGCTGATGAGCTCCAGCTAATTTCAAGTATATATAATTTTGAAGGCAACAGAGAATGTCTTCACCATTTTTATATGCATGTGTGTATTTATGTATATACACACACACACTGTAGATAAATCATGTATATACACACATATTTTGCTGCCACCTTGTGAACAGTCTCTGAATAAGGAAGTTTAGCTCAGACGGACCCAATTCTGCCATCGTTAGTCACGTTTAGCTCAGCCGACACTTTTTGAACAGATACTCAATGTCAGAAAGGCCGGCGGAATCAGATGCTTAGTGAAGAAAATTTTAAAAGGCTGAATAAAATAACTATTAGTCTTCTGCAATTTCTGTACACTTTTCTGGCACAAACATTATGGGAAGCATCACTAAATTCTTTCTGATAAAAATATCGCAGCTTTGCATCCAAGTTGTATAGCTGTCTTCAAAACTGAATAAGCTGGTGCCTGTAAAACAAAGAGTAAGAGATTAAATACATCTCACGAAGTGTTTTGTTTGAACCACTGTGGTAAGGAATAGTAAGCATTATCTAAAAAACCCCCAACAAAGCAAAAACACAAACAAAAAACCCCACCAACCCCCCCCCCATTTGTAGTCTAATCTACCCTAGAGAAAACTAAATTTAAAATTATCAACTTTGCAGAATGTTTCCATTTCTCCACAAATGTAAGTCAAGAAGGGGAGAAAAAAAAAAAAAAAAAGAGAGATATCATACATTCCTCATACAGCATTCAAGGGAGCACAGAATTTGGGTTTCACACTTCCTAACATGGTTGTGTTCGTCTACCAAGACGATGCCTCAAGTTCCCAGCTGTATGGAAAGCATTTATTAGCCTTATCTTCAGAAATATTTAATCTAAACTTAAAATCAAATTAAAAACTCTGCAGAGGACACCTCTCAGGAAAACACAATCACTTTAACACTTGACACGAGTTCCAACAGATTCAATTCTGTTCCAGAAAAATGAAAGCTGTAATACACTGTTTTCTTATATTTATCTGTGGGAAAGAATATCAAGTGCCTTATTCTCTTTATTTTTCCTCAAATAAAGAACTACACCACGGTCACTGGACAAGGAAGGTAAGAATATCACATCTACGTCCTCACTAACAGTGCCCATTAGTTAACATCATACTTACCGCTTCTGCGTCATGCTCAAGCCCAATATCGTGGTGCTCCCTTTCATCATCCCGAAATTGCTTTATTATCTTTAAAAGTAGCAGGTAATCAGTAAGTCTACTTTGCAGAGAAATCAAGGCAGCTAGTATGCAAAACTATTCGCTGTTATGCACCAGTGTGGGGCCCAGGTCTCTCAAAAGCTTCTCAAAGACCTGAATCCCCAATTCAGCAAGAAGGGAATTATTTACAGCATTCCCCAAACCTAAAGTTCTTTTAACATTCTCACAAAAAGTCTTTAAAAATTAAGCTGCTGTTGAACATATCACTATCTTTTTCACCGTTTCAAGAAAAGCTATAACCTATAGTCATAACACTAATTAGTTTCACATACACAAATTATTCTGACAATTTAAGTAACGAAGTTGAGGTCCCTGCCTTGCCAGATGATCAGTAAGGGTGTTTCCCCGTAAGCCAACAGGGCTTTTGTCCATCCCAGCATGCCCTGAAGAACACTATTTCTCTCATCTAATTTTTCAACTGGGACAAAAACGTTCAAAGAATTTTCTCCCGAGCTGCCTGCAGTAACTTGGATTGCTTCAAGCGCTCAGAGCGTACAGACACCCCAAGCGCCGTCCCTACCCAACAGGTTCGCATCCCTCCTGGTTCCATCGCTTCCCTCCTCGTAGTGACGCTGTGAGTAACCTCGCTGCTCAGCTTTTTCTCTTTATTTTGTGCCCTCTCAGTGCTGCGTGTGGAAACAGGTCAGTCTCCCACAAACACCCCGCAGGAACGTGTCCCAGTTTGATGCCCAATTTTCTTGCAGAGCTCCTTACGTGCTCCGAACAGCATTCAAGACTAGAACTATATGCTCATATCCAGTATAAGCAAAACGTTACTACGCAATCGCATTTTCTACTTTGTTTCCCCTCTAAAGCCTTCCTTTTAGGTAAAAGCAATCAAAATTAAAGCACCGTTCTCCTAATCGAGAGGGAAGCGTTGAAGTACTGAAAGCATGCTGAAGCTAACCCAACACACATTTGAATTTTGGTGCTCCATCATTTTAGTGTCGCTGAAGGAAAAAACATCCTTTTAACCTAAAGTTTCTGTTCCCTTCAGCATTCTAAGCGATCCAAGAGATCTGCCGTAAATTCTATAAGCATGTTACTTTAAGAGAGTAAAGTCACATTAGATAATTCAACGGATTTTTTTAAGCTACTTTTTAAGACGTAGTTAAATACCTGCAATAGTTCTTTGTACTTTTCTGGATCTTGTTCCATAAGAGTTCGGATCTGGCTGTTGTAGTGATCCGATATGCTCTCTTCCACCGCCACCGTGCAAGCCATCGCACCTTTCTTTCCAAGTAAAGCACTGCCAGCCCCTGCGGTTGTGGTACCAAACATAGGCGAACAATGAAATCTGAAGCCATACGAGTAGTTCACACGTGTGAAGACTTCATAAACCAGCAGCAATTGTAATAATACGAGCTCACCTAAAACAAAACCTGCTACGTTCCAAAAAGGCAATAAAACAGTAGGTCGGACTCTGTAGGCAACCATTAACTCATTGAACTTCTTCAGGTGGTCTTTTTCTTGGTTCCACATTTGCTAGAAAAGAGCCAGATCACAGTACATCACCAAACCAGACACGT